GGAAATGACTTATTCAAATTTTAGTATCATAAATTTATATGACAATTGATTATCATCTTCCTTCTTCGTTTTTTTTTTTTTTATCATTATAATTTTGTTAGTTTTTTATGTGGAAAAAAAATTTTTTTACTGAAAATGATATATACATACCTCTTTTGCATATTTACTGATTTCATTTGCACAGATGCGCCTACGACAATACCGCTAATTACATACATATATTTGAATTATAACGAAAGCCAGTTATCCTCATGGATACCATATAAACTTTATTTGGTTGTCGTTATTGACATTATTATTATTATTATTATCACCATCATCATCTGTCATAATAACTACTACTACTACTGCCAATATTACAATTACAACTACTTTTGCACCTACTAATTATTATTCCTTATAAGTGTAACTATTATTATCGCAATATTTACTACACATACTGATTATCAATTATTAAAAAGATTATTACTGATAGTATATTGCTGTTACAATAATTACTACATTTAGTGATTATCATTTATTATAAGAGCTGTTATTATCATTGCAATAACTATTACATTTACTGAATTGCTATTACTATAACTATTATCATATGCTGATTATCAGTTGTTATGAAGACTATTACTGATAATATTGCTATTACAACAAGTATTCCATGTACTGATATCATTACAACTAATTTCAGTAATGCATTTACTTCTACCAATAACAATGATGATTACAAAGATAAAATCACTGGTAATGATAGCAATTATAATTGCACTGATAATTTGTTTATCATAGAAATGGAATTGATAATAGCGAAATTAATCAAAGATATATAATATTGTCACTATCACTTTCTTTATCAATATCATTATCATCATTATCATCATTATTGTTACTATTACACTCACCTTTTTCTCTACCTTTGAATTTATATCATTTTTATCCAAAAATTTTCATCAAATTTATATTTCATTCGTTATCATTCCTTATCATTTTATCCATTTTATTATTTACTGCTAGTTTTCATGAGTATTTTTCAATAATAAACATCATCTCATGTTATATTTATTGCAATAGGAAATAAGAATTTGAAAATATGTATTATCAACTAATTTGTACTATCAGACATTGCACACATATTTATCATGAAATGTCTTATCAGTAGGATGATAAATGTTAAGAAATATCAAATCAATCAGGTTTGATAATATTTTCAAACAATAAATTTAAAGTTATAATCTTTTTTATCATTTAACCTATCATTATCATAATTACAGATGGTTTTATGGATGTTGGCAATAAACGAATTAAAATTAAAGAAATGTCTGATATTTTGGCATCAAAATTTGCTTTTATTACCGGTAAGTTTATTTATCTTTTTGTTTTTGATTACAAAATATATTAATTAATAAAATAATTCTTTTACTCCATTTATATTTTATTCTCAATTCATATTTCATGCATAATATTTATCCTTCGTATTACTTTTAAGAA